AAAAAACTACCTGGTTAAATATTATATCGAGAATGAAGCTACGAAATATACTGTCAGATAGCGAATCAAACAGAATACTAATAATTCGAATGGACAAATCATTCGTCTAAGTCGAATGCAAACATAATCATTCCACTCGAGTCGACCGATTACCGATACCGGAAGCATCTGCCATTCGGTCAGGTACACGAGTCGAATGATCATTATGTCGGAACCACGGGGAAACATCTACCAGGTCCATATCGAAACATCCCTGTCCCCGTCACATTTACGCTATTTACCATATGCCAGAGAGGGCTGGCAGAAATGCTCTACGGAATCTATGGATTAGTAATTAATGATCATTCGAATACGAAAATTAGTAGGTTACTAATTCGTCGTTACTGCATCGTAAGACAAAACTACTGACCTAGGAAGTCGAAGTCGGATTTTAAAGTAATTCTAATGGTGCCATGTAAAAAAATGCAGTAGATAACTGATCTTTTACCAAAGCAGAGAATAAAAAAGTAACGGGAATGGTCACTCTTCGCCCCTCCCTAGCTTTAGACACCGCACCGCGCCCCGCATATTGACGGTCACATTGACGGAACGGCAACAAAGCTGTCAGTTATCTACTGCATTTTTTACATTACACTATTAGAATTACCTACTTTAAAACCCGACTTCCACTTCCTAGGCTAGTAGTAGTTTGTCCTACGATGCAGTGAAACCATTTCCGGAGACCCGGAATTCGAAAAGGTAATTAATTAATATTTAATGGTTTTAACAACTCTATATCGCTCCTTGTAGCTATCTGTATAGATATATCATGTATAGATGTATCTATATATGTGGAGCACCTTTTTCCGACTATTGGTTAATTACTAACGAGTCGAATACAGATATCATTCGCAATCGCGCATCTCTATTGTCAGAAGAGCTTTTTCGTACATACCAAATAATAACCCTAAAACCACTCCAGCTAGTGTTTACATTTTTTGTAACATTTGACCCTCTCGCGTAAGTAACTTGAAAACACGTGAAAAATAGTCTTGAAACTTCTAAGATCGATGTGATTTTTTTAAATTCATCTACATTTGATATTGTAATTCTAAATACTCTATAACTTTTTATCAATAATAACACCAAACTAGTGGAATATTTTCACAAAGAAAGATAAATAATGTGATAATAAAACATGATAAAATAAATATTACAATTAATAAAGCGCCATCTTTTGTCAGCCCCTGTAGTAGCTGTAAAGATGTAACCTGGCTATTGAAGAAAAACTTTCATATGTTTCTCACAGATGGCGCTACGGCAAGAACCCTGATAAATCAAAAACAAAGATCAGTAACAAGCACATAAAGAAATTCGTGAGGTTTGCTAATTCGTTCCGTAGCTCAGTTGGGAGAGTCGAATTCAACCGGAACGAAGGAATTTTTCTTTGCGTTTGTTCAACCTTTGCATCAATAATAACACTAATATAAATAATAATAACCTGGTCTCCGAATTTTCTAAAATAAAGCTTTCGTATCAAGGCAGAAGTGACGACCGGCATTTGTTTATTGATTTGATACTTTCTAGTGCTTCCATCCTTGACGCGGTGGTATTTCTTGATTGCAACTTCTCTTTTCACTTCTATCATTATTGACTCTAGGTCGTGTGTTTTTGATAGCGAATCAATTGCATTGCAGAGGGATTTTATGAACCAGGTGCCATCTATTTCTCTGTGAAATGTATTCCAACATAATAATATATATCTATGAAGTCTAGTATAAGTATAATTAAAAAGCCGGCACGCTATGATGGCCGTTTTGATTGATTACAATAGCGAGGTGAAATCTCAATTAATTATCAAAAAAAATATAATCAATTGTGAGTCGCAGGTTTTTAAATTATTAAGGCGTAAACAAAGTCCAAATTAACGAGAAAGGATCAACAGTAATGCAGAATCAATATCCAAAATCCGTTCAAGACTATATATTATCATAATCACGGTTTGTTCTTTTCGAAGCAACGTCAATTCGAAACTGCTTTGTTTTGCATTGAGCTTTGACGCGTGTTTGCCGGAGGCAAAAGTAGTCCTGGCCAGCGATCAACGATCAAGTGACGATCGTATTACATTTCATTTTTAAAAATTTCGAATAGCAAATGCCGAGTTGTATCGTAAAATTACACATTCCATAAATTTTACTGCACGTCACTATTGACAACAATGTACAGCAATTAGCTCCTTCAACATAGTTATTAATTAATACGCAACTTGATGGGCGGACAAGCGTCAAAACGGCCATCATAGCGTGCCGGTACTTTAAGTAGGAATAAACTAAATACTTGCAGATGTCTCACCTATGCGAAGCCTTGTTGATATAAGAACTATGCAGCACTATAGTATCAGCTTCCACTGGTAGATGGTAATGTTCTACCTCGTCCTTGACGATCGAATCTTTTTGCGTCCCTGAGAATTTAACTATACGCCCTGCTTCTGCTGCTTCCATATTTTTAATACCTCTACATGCCTGAAATTTACCGTAATAAGTACAAAATTAGAAACATTATTTCGGGTTGTAAAAGTTATCATAATGGTGTAATAAAAAGAAAGATTTCACGTGGAAGCAGGTATAATTTGACTCCATTACATTCTGATTGTACAGAAGTTATATGCGGACAGCGAAGAAGCATCGACGGGACACGTACCAATGCTGAAACTGCTAGCAGTAATAACTGTATCCCTACAATTAGATAAAGTCTTTTTAGTTTTGAGAACAACGGAACAGAAGATTTCATTCCTGTTTAGACCTTTATGTAAAAATTTTATAGCACCAAATGTAACTTTTAAGTGTAATACGAGTATATGCTGTCAATTTCTTACTGTTAACGAAAGAGGCTGGTGCATCACACTTTCTCAAAATTTTATTATTCATGAAATAAAATCCAATGCTTTGGGATCTCATGGGGTTGGTACGTACATGGTGATGTTAACTCTCTCTGACATTCTTAATATAATTACTAACATTGTTAATTCGTCAATTGTTAATACTACAGTCACAGGAACTGCTCTGGTACTTCTAGATTTTTCTAGAGGTTTTGATTCAATCAATATTTCTCTACTTATTATAATTAAAACACTAGGTTTGCGAATTCTCTGTATTGATTCAGGAGTTAGCTTATCAATCGCATGTAACAAGTAAGCTTACAGAAACCCAATAGTACTTTCCTGATGTCCGATCTGAATGCTACTGACAGGAGTGTGCCACAAGGCTCTATATTGGTTCCGCTATTATTTATGCTTTCCACTTCAGGTTACTTATTACTGCATTAAAGCTACGAGTACCACTTGTTTTACCATCATGATGACTACTGAAGGCGTGAACCTCATTAATGAGGATCTACACCGCTAAGCCACCTGATCCAGTAATATGCTTTAACCTCAAATCCAATCAAATCGTAACATCGCACCAATCACTCCGTGACTTGGTTAGTGTGACCTGGTCGAAACATGGGGATGATAGGTAGGTGGTGCAAATACCTATTACATTGTTTAATTTCGTTTATTCTCGTTTGGAAATTTTAGTGGTTTCATAGTCACGTTTGCGAACTAACCTGGATAATCACGACGACAGGTTTGGTGACCAATGTAGATTTCTGCCTGTGCTTAAAGTATTGAAGAATCTCCTGTTCGCTGTACTCTTCGTCTTTCGCCATGAGAAGGCCGTTTTCGCCGCCATGGGTCATCACTACTATCACCACGCAACCGTAGTCGGTAAAATCCATTGAGCTAACTGTAAAGATCAGAATGATGTATATGATAGCCGATTAGCAGCTCATTTAAAACACGTTTGCGTATACCCTTGGTACACTTTTGGTGCTCGCTACTACAATGTTAAGTATATTATGTAGGAGTAGACGTCACAGATTATAGAATACCTGGGTTCAAAAATATTTAACAGGGCAAAGTTTATCCCTTTGACAACTAGAACATTGACGTCAACAATCAACCATTTCAGACTCATTCAAGAGTCACTTAACAGCTTTAATGTGACTTAAGATCCAATAAAAAAATAAAATACGACTTACATTTATCCAACTCTTTAAATATGTCCTTCCTAGTAAGATCTACATATTCTTTTCCTTTAAAACCGAATTTTTCAAGTGTTTTTTTGATACGCCTCCCGTCCTCCTTAGTGCCGACCCTAGGTACGTTATACCCGGTGACATGATATTGATTGAATATGATCATGGCATTCTTTTCGAAAGCTTCCAGTTTGTATGTTGGTTCATCAGCAGCTAGAGCTTTCGTGTTTCTATCACCACTGTCGTCTTCAAGTAATGGATCATTATTTCCCAGACCTAATTTGGCTTCGTTGTCAAAATTTGCCGTGAAATAATACATTGTTAGTAAACCAAATACACTATAGGTACTAGACATAAACAAGGCAATTTTCTGACTTATGAGCTATGTTAGTAACATTACATACAACAAATTCTTAAACATGAGGAATGTGGGAAACCTGACATATTTTTCCTCACTTCTCATACCTAGCATGCGATACATGTGACCTTGTGCACTGGCTGAGTATTGGGGTGTCATTTGTATCAGCCGCTACCGTACAAGCATCAGAGATGCGACTCGCTTGCGCATGATAGCATGAAAGTCATCCGTGCGCGCCGACGCGAACTTAACCGACGTACTACAGTAACGTGGCAGCCCCATCAACATACGAGTACTTCATACATTATTATATAGGACACTCTGCAGCCAAAGGTACTGCGCAGAATACTAGATCAGAAACAATATAGAAAAGTTTATTTTCGAAATTGTGTTAACTTGGAATCGAACACGGAATTTTTTCAAAAATCGATACTGAAAGACCAAATGTCTGACCTAAATGTTGATGGTGATTAAAAAGTCTGCATGTATACTAGGTGAAACTGATATCGCTATCACTTGATTTTTATCAGTTTCCACGACTAACAGATACCTTCTTTTTGCAGTAGCTTTATACATACCTTTTATACGTGAAAGGCCGGCTATATCCTTACTACTACCATATTTAGGAGCATTTTTCAGCATCGCATCAGCTGTTGCATCATGTCCATTTGCATCTACAGTTATATCAATCGTAGTAATTCCGTCAGTCATATGATCGTCACTGTCTCTTGCACCTAAATATGTAAACCAAATTAATCTCTCTTTCTTTTTATTTATCTATATATTTTTATTAATCTTTTTAAGACACCAAGTGACGGAACGGACAAGTCGTGCGCTTGTTGGAAAGCGACACGCCTGTCCATAGCAGTTGCAATGCCACCAGAGCCTTAAATCGCAAACATCTGCGGGGCACTGCCACTGCGCCCCGAAACATAAGTTGACAAGTCCCATGTGCCTGTAATTTCACCACACACTGCTTGGCTTCAGAAATAAGCAGTTGTGATACATGAGTTTATAAAAAGACGGAAATGCACTATACTACAGGTATAAACATTTCTTGTGTTAATGCTGTAGTCTCTGCCTGCCCCGATGGAAGAAGTAGCGAGAAATATATGTATGTATCCAAAACATGGCTTGTTTGCAATATTGTATCTGAATCCGTTTAAATGACTCAGGGTCGTATTCTAGAACTCTGCTCAATGCTCAAGTCAGGACTTGAGTATGATTCAAAGCACTAGAAATCATACTCAAGTCCTTACCATTAGGGTCGTATTTCCAGTGCTTGAAATCATACTCAAGTCTCAAATCTTGACTTGAGCATTGAGTAGAGTTCTGGAATACGACACTTAGTGAATAATAATCACTTAAACATATGAGCATACCTACACAGCACAAACACTTTGAACTTGGTAGGATTTCTCAGTCAAATAAAATCACTTTAATCGTGGTGATTGGAGTAAATTTCACTATAATTTAACTTTCTTACTTATTCACGTAAGAAAGTTAAATGCATCTGTATATCAATCTGTATATAAATCTGTGTAGCAATTCCTACGTAGTTCATTAATTTATGACTCATATGGTCTGAATAAATAAATAAGATTAAATACAATAATTGTAATAAAATAAGGAAAAGAAATAATATTTTCATTAATAATTGAAAAAATACTTCCGATTTTGCTATAAAAAGACTCGAACAACACACACAACTACCCTCACTGCTGCATGAGCAGTCTCTAAAGATTGCTGTAAGGTTCAACTCACACTGGTGCAGAGTCGAAGCGTCGCGACGCGTCATGTTTTTCGCCTATAGCATATTCATCTCTATTTTCCCATTATTAAGGTACAAATATTTGTTGTTTGCAAATACAGTGAGGAAAGGATAAAATGACGTGAGGAGAAGTTCTGTTCTGTGCTTGTTTATATTTGTTTTTAAATATCGTAACACACTGTTAAAACTCGGACCTTTAAAACGGTGTAAATTACATTGTTCGTACTTAACAAGACCCACGTAAATGCTGTAAGTAGTAACTGCGTTATTATTCTAAGATGGTAACAATTTTAATATTAGGGAATGCAAAAATGCTGTAACCAGAGGCAAAGAAAATTTTATTACGTGTTCTTGATGTAACGCACATTTTTCAAAAAGAGCACCGGTTTCAGCGGGTTAAATCGTTTTAAAATTCCTTAATAAAAAAAAAACGTCAAAAAATTATGCTGTCCAGAGTCCAGAAACGAAGCAGAAAAAAAATTGGACAAAAAAATATGCAAAAAAAAAAAGCATTTTCGCAGGTATTGCGGGTTACAGCATTATCGCTTTCTAGCGACGATAAGTTTTCCTTACCTTTAACACAAAATGGTACCCCGAACATCCGTCCTAATAGTCCGTTCCTCAAAATCCTTTTTCTTCTGTTGCTGGACATTTTATGGCTTGATTTCTATATTGTAACATGTAAAAGTGCGTTGTATTAATAAATGCGTGCGTTTTTCACAAGAAAGAAATAAATGTTACGGTAGTAAAACACCATAATATTCGTTAAACATCAATGTTAATATTAGAAGATAGTGCTTTAAAACACCTTAATTTTTTTTTTGTTTGTTTGGTATGTTATTCTCTAACTTATCTATTATAATCTGCGTTAGAACGTATTCGGAGATTATTTTATCACTTGTTCGACAAAGATTATTAATAAAGTGTCATATAGTGTGTTTTTAGACGTCGTTGTTTTATATAATATCAATGAAACTCCAATTTTAATTGCATTACAATCTGGGCTCCAAATCTGCTAATTTTAAATAAGGTACCTGGGCCGAATATGGCCACCTTAAGGTTTGAAGTCGTATTTTTCGGTCAGTTTGTATGCGAGGTCGATCATTACTATTTAAGTTTTACAGAGTATTTATATAAGTTTCATATTTTAGTATAAAAGAATGACAAATGCATGTAACTTAAAAGCAATTTGAAAATTTCTAAATTTGTACTTAAATATGGTCATACAAATGGCCATATTTACTGTAAGGAACATATTACTCTTTTCTATTATAATTTAACAAGATTATATGGTTCTATGAATAATAATGGACTGGAATTCCATGCCTGCAGACTTACAACTTGGACCTTTTTAAGGCGAGAGCGAATTTACGGGTATAGTATATATGTTAATGTTAAGAAGTTTTAGTTAAGGAGTTTTCCCAGACGCCCTTAAAATAGCCATCATAAAACCCATCCATAAAAAAGGCCAAAAAACGGACCCAACGAATTATCGCCCAATTGCGCTTTTACCAACTTCGTCAAAAATCTTCGAATCGGCTATGTGTAGAAGACTCTGTAACTTCTTTGAAAAATACAAAATTTACGATGACAACCAAAATGGCTTTAGAAAAAATCATTCGACAACTTTAGCAGTATACAAATGTGTGCAAAAAATTCTGGATACTATAAATAATAAAAAATATGCAATAGGACTATTCTTAGATTTAAGTAAAGCTTACGATAGAGTAAAATATGAAATACTACTGGGAAAATTGTATGATGTAGGGGTAAGAGGCATACCGCATAAATGGCTCACTAGCTACCTGACAAACCGAGAACAATTAATAGAAATTGAACATGTAGACTATAAAACAGGTAATATTACACAAATAAAATCTGATAAGATAAATATCATTAACTCTATCCCTCAGGGTAGCGTCCTGGGCTGTGTTTTGTTTTTGGTCTATATAAATAATCTGTCTAAAATATGTACTGAACATTGCACATTATTTGCAGATGATATCTCAATTATATTGTCCTGCATAAATGAAGATGAATTACAGGATAATTTGGATAGGACCCTAGACAAAATTACGAAATGGCTTAACATTCATAATTTAGAATTAAACATAAGAAAATCGAAACTTATTCAATTTAGACCGTACCAAAAATCGCCTTTGAATATACAATACAATTACAAAAACACAGAATTAGAAACAGACACTACTGCGACCCTACTAGGCATAGAACTAGACTCTACTATGAACTGGAAATCCCACATACAAAACCTGGCCAGTAAATTGTCCTCTTTTACTTATGCGCTATACAACCTCAAAAAGGTCTTAGACTTTAATACAGCTTTATCTGCGTACTATGCATTTATCTACACAAAGCTTTCATACGTTATAGTGCTATGGGGCAATGGTGTCGAGTTAAATAACTTATTCTTACTACAAAAGAAAAGTGTAAGAATACTTGTTAATATAGATCCACAAACCTCGTGTAAGCCATTCTTTATTAAACATAAAATCTTGACATTAACCTCAATTTACATTCTAGAATGTTGTAAATTTGCAAGAAAGTACGGTCAGTTTTTTTCACCCATAAAGACAGTGAAACGTAATAATAGAGGTCTACACATGTTAAGACGTCCTTTCAGTACCCTTAGTATATACCATTCAGGCCCTCATAGTATGGTAATACAAATATAAAATGCGATTCCAATCGAAATAAAAATGCGAGATACATACAAGGCGTTGGAAAAACATTTAAAATGCTATCTCCAAAGCAAGGCCTTTTATTCCATAACAGATTTTTTTGTAGAAAATAAGGCTCTTTAATTTTCTGTTTGTATTGTTCTTGCTTATGTTTATATAGTAATGTTTTTCTTTAAATGCTACTTAAATTTTATAAATTAAACCTATGTATATAATAAGATACCTGTACCCTCAAAAATTTGCGATGCCCCCCCGGGGTGTTACATGTTGTACATATAACTAGTTTAACACCACTTGTAAAAACCTTGCAAATAAATGAATATGAATATGAATATGAATGTGATCGTAAAACTATTAATCCAAAGACAGTCTTATCTCACCGTTAATCATTTTATTGTAGTCTATTTAGAAAAGTATAGGTACAAGCGTGATAGGCCGATTATAGTAAACATTGTTTGCGCCAACCGATACTATAGGATTATAATATGATC